TTGCGTAGGTGCCGTGTCGACCAGCTCATCCAGCTTTCTTTTGACCGAATTGATGGTTAGGTCATTGAATCCTTCACCATTGATGACCATAGCAGAGGGAAAGTATTCCCACCGGCTGTGTGTCGTGAGCGGCTCCTGTAGGTGCTCGGGGACGTAGAAGTCCTCGGGTCTTATGACGGAGAAGGCGGTCTGGACGGGGACCGACTCGTCAGATGGTCGGGCGTCTTCCTCCAGTTCTCTTGCTTCTCGGGCGTCACGATGAGGAGCGTCGTTTCGCCGGTATTGGGCGAGCCTCCCTCCCTTGATGAGGGTTTTGATGGCGTCCTTGAGGTGGACGCAATCTTCAGTCAGATGACCATGGCTCATGTGGTACTGACAGTACTTGCTCTTGTCTGCTTCGGGCTTGGCGGGAGCAGGTCGGGGGCGTTTGACGTCGCCGTCTTTAAAGTCTGTGCTGGCACACTCCGCCAAAATGTACTCGCGGGAAGCTGTGAGCGGAGTGTATTCGGTAAAACGCCCCGAGGGTCCTCTTTGGTCTCGGACTTCTCGGGGTCTGTCCTCTTTTCTTTTCTCCCCTGTTCGTCGAGGAGGAGCAACTTCTTGGCGTGGGTTACTGCTGGATCCGCGAGTCCTGGGGTCCCGGGCTCTGTTGGCCGCCTCCCTTTCTTCGTAATCCATGTACGCTCGGGCCTTCTCGAGGAGGGCATCGAATGTTCTAGGTGGCTCGATGCCCACTGCCTTTCTGAATTCTATGCTGGGGAGGAGCCCTCTCTCCAGCATGTACCTCTTCATGTGGTCCGCATAGGGGACCTTTATGGCTTCACGATTGAAGCGATTAATAAACTCTCTCAAGGTTTCATCCTGTCTCTGGATGATGGCTTCGAGAGCCGCCTCGGTCTTTAGGTGTCGCCGAGACGCAGTGAACGAACTTATGAATTGGTTCTTTAGGTTTCGCCACGAGGTGATTGATCCCAAAGCGAGGCCTTTATACCAATCCATTGCTGCCTTTCTAAGGGTCGTGGGGAACAACTGACATTTGATGGGTCCCCCGACATTGTGGTAGTGCAGCATGGCCTAGAACCCGTCTATGTGGTCGACTGGGTCCGCGACTCCGTCGTACTCCTTTAGATGTGGAGGCTTCTCCATGCCCGGGGGAATGGGCGCCTCCATGATGGCTTGTGACAGGGGACCGCGGGGGTCGTCCTCGTCACTTCGCTCCGGGGACAGGGATGGGGACCTGTAATATTGTCGAGCCCGACGGTCCTGGTCGTGCTGGGCATCTCTCGAGCGTGGTGCTCGTTGGTTGATTCTTCTATGCCCGTCTCTGGAGTGTCTTCTTTCTTGTCGTGTGGGGGCATGGCCGCGTCCCCCAACTTCAATGACGGGTTGCCTCTCCAAAGGGGGTCGTCTCCCCGAGGATCGGGGTGACGGGCTTCGGGAGGTATCTCTGTAGTGTCTCCGCGGGGGAGACGGGAGATGTACCTCTGTTACTCGAGGAGGTGGAGTTTGGGGCCTCCTGTGTCTCCTCGCAAGTCTTCGATCTTCTTCTAGTGCCCTCAATCTTTCCCCCTGGGCGAAGATGAGGTAATTCGTCTGGTTGACCGCTGCGAACAGTGCGCGGGTTGTGGCGTCTGCCCCGGCGGGGACGAGAACTTCTTGAAATTGGGCAGCTCGATAGTTGGTGGGAGCTGCGTTGTCTTCTTCGAGCGGCGGAGGGACTGAGGAGGATGAGGCCGTAGCTCTGTCGCGGTGGATTGAGGGCCCGGGTTGGAGCCCCCGGGGAGTGTGTTATGATCGGGGTTACCGACATTGTCGGTGAGTCCATTCTTATCTGCGAGGCCGTTGTTGGTGTCAACGACGCAGATGTTTTGTTCATCACGAACTTGGTCAGCCATGACGGTAGGGGGTGATTTGAGCTTTGGTCTTCGAGGTTTTGCAAGACGGGGAAGCTAGGTTCCCACAGACGGCACCACTGATCTTACCTGATTAGACTTGGACCGTCACGACTGGCTCCGAGCGAAAGTTGAACGAGGTGGGGGGGGGGGGTTACCTGCAAGGCACTCTGATGCTAAAGTGAGTGATGGTACGAGCAGGCAAAACGTGTGTGTATGGTAAAAGAATGAATACCTGATCCTCTGGGAACAGAGGGTATTTATAGCCCCCAGCGCGGGGTCAAGGTCCTCTCATTGGACCGACCAGGACTGACCCAACAAAGGGACTGCCAGGTTCTACGTGTGTAGTGGGGACCCGCACGTGGTCCCCTTTCTGGTGATGCTCTGCGAGAAATACGGAGGGACGAGGACGCGGTCTTTTCGGAGTTCAGGTGATGGAGTAACGGTCATAGTCTGCCCTACGAGGAGGGTGCTCGAGCTGGGCTCGAGCTGGGCTCGAGCTGGATGTCATGTGGTCGGGGACGTCATGTTCGCGGGCAGTGGCGGGCACGGCTGCAGCTTCTGGTCGACGCGCTGACGGAAATCTTCGAACACGCGCTCTTTGAAGAGTTGCTTGGATTGGACTTTCGTTCTTGCTCTTGGACCAGGACGGGTCCAGTCCAGAACAGAATCCTTACAAATAAAGAAAATATGACACCATTTTCTTACTACATGAATACCTCCCCTGCTGATATGGCTCTTGATTGGATAGATACTTGTCCCGAAAAAAATATGCATGTGATAGTTGATAGGATTGTATGCTTCTTAGCGATTTATTATGTTTTTATTAGCTTGATGTGATATTATATTTGTCAGAATTACTTTATAGTTTTGATACCAAATGGAAATGCCGGTATTTACTTGTTAGAATATCATATTCTAGATTCTTAACTGAAATTCTTGTGTTCTTACTTTATTATTTTAAGGTGTCGTGATTTTTAACTATCCAAACATTTATAATTTTACATTTTTGTGTAACGGGGTGGGTGATAACTCAGATGAGAGTTTGGAAGAGAGTTCAGATGATAGTTCATATGAGAGTGACACCACTTCTGAAATGGATATTGAAGTCCAACAAGTTAATAGAAATCAATATCATATTGAAACGGTCGTGGTTGATTTTATAGTTACAAAACTATGTTTTGTAATACATTGTCAAAGAAAAGAAAACTACGTTAATTCTCTCCTGTCATAGACGATATACATAATTGATAACACGAAATGATAACAGGTTTTTTGAGCAACTTCGAATGAGAACTTTTATTGTGGTAAAAGCAAGATGGAAAGTATTATAAGAAATGCCTAATTTCAAGCTTCAAACTCAAATGGCTATTATTTGGAGGTGTTTGGCACTTCATTATTTTTTAAGAAGAACAAATTTAAGTGACTTGGATATTCTTAAAAGTTTAGAGAACATCAATGGTTTACAAGATAATTAGCAAGGTTTCCATGATAGACATGAAAATGGTGTACTTACTCATGGTGAATGGCAAGCTCTAACTCAAACTGATGTTAGATATATTGAAGAAATAAGAAACACCATCCAAGACCAACTGCCAAGAAACATGGGGCGACAACGATAGTAGTTTTATTTTTATATTTAATGACTTTTAAAGTTCATTTTAATCTCTTAATTTAAAAAAATTCATATTAGTCCCTTAATATTTTAAAATATTTTATTTTAATCTTTTTTATTTAATAAAGGACAAAAAAACTCAGAGATTAATCATTAAATTTATCATTAATTAAATTAAAAAAATTAAAATAAAAGTTTTGAAGAATTAAGAGATTAAGATGAATTTTTTTTAAGTTAACGTACTAAAATAAACTTTGAGATTAATATGCAGAACCAAAAAAGAAATATTTTATCTTATAAAAATAAAAAATATACTTTAAAAAGATAATAAAAAATAATACTTTAAAAAGATGTAGTTTTATTATCATGAACCTTAAAAAAAGTTTAGAATGAGACTTTAATATATTTAAAAGCATTATTATTTTTTAATCTTAAAGTAACAGAAATTTTTAAACAATTATATATAATTATTAATTCATAATTATATATAATTATTTATTTATAATAATAAATACGGATTTATATGTCCTGTTTAATAGTTTATAATTTAAAAAATCATTTTCACATTTAAATAGTAAAAAAAGAATTTAAAAAAGAATTTTTATGATAGTAAACAAACTAGCTTATACTATTTTAAAAATCTCAAGATTTTTTAATAAAAGAATTTATTTTTTAAAATTTAAAACAAACGGGGTCCTAATTTGTCCTAGACACTTTTCTTTTTCATTCCACCGCATGTAACATTTGTTTTTCTTTTATGAGCAAACATATTTACTTGTCTTGAAATAAACTTAATTCTAGTTTTAGGATAAACATTAAATTATTTAGGTGCTCATGTTAAGAATATAATTTGAAAAATATTGAATTCGATTTTTAGATGAGAATAATGCTTAATTAATATTTATATTTTTTAATATAAATTCTGAATTATTAAGATTCTTTTTCTTTAAGAACTAGAATGTAAAAGTAAAAAAAAAAATATTATATTAAAAAATCTAAAAAAGAAATTGAAAATTGAAAATAAAATACAATTATTTTGCCAAAATAATAAATATCTCTTTTAATTCTTCTAACTAATTTATAGTTATAAAAAAATATGTATGGATAATATAAAATAATTTTATACTATCAACCAATTATAATTATATTATATAATAAATTATACTATTATTTTTAAATAAATTATATAATATAATTAAATAATAAACTTTTTTTCATTAGATATTTTTTATGCGTTAGTTTTGTTTTTTAGTCTATTGAAAAATTGAAAAATAAAATTATTAATTCACATAGTCCTAGAAAATTAACGAGTTTGGCTGTGCTTGTGCGCCAAGAAAAGTCCTAGAAAATAAATAAATGGCAGCATTGTAATTAAAGAGAATTCTAAGGATTAAAAGTAACCAATCTCCACCCTCACTCCAACACTATAAAACCCATTTTAACAACGTTTCTTCACATTCTCAAACTCAAACTCTGAACAAACAACACAAAAAATGGCATCACGCTACGAAGCTGAAGTGAAACTCTCATCGGCTCGCAACCTCAAAAACGTGAACTGGCGCAACGGCCCAAATAGACCATACGGCGTCGTTTGGGTAGACTCAAAGAACAAATTCTCAACCAAAATCGATGAAAACGGTGACACAGAAGCTAGTTGGGATCAAACTCTCGTAATTCCTTTACCACCGCAGCCAATTGAAGATCTCACTCTTTACATCGACATCGTCCACGCCGGCTCCGAAGAAGACACCAAGCCACTCATCGGCTCGGCTAAGCTCAAACTCATCGAAATTCTCGACGATGCAGGGATTGGTGAGCGTGCTAGCCGATCCCTGACGCTGAAGCGACCATCGGGAAGACCACATGGAAAAGTTGATGTCAAGGTAACAATTAAAGAACCCGGCTATTATTCGCCAAATTTATACTACACTCCTCCTTACGGTGTTCCTCCGCCTCTGGCGTCGAGAGATTATAATTATAATCCCTCGGCGCCAGATAGAGACTCTTATGGAGCACGGCAGCAGAATAATTATTACGGTTATACTGCTGCTGTGCCACAAGGAGGGTATCCTTATAACACGGGCCCTGAAACAGCTGGATATGGGGCACAAACGGCGTCGTATGGACAAGGAAGTAGTTATGGGGCACAAACGGCGTCGTATGGACAAGGGAGTAGTTATGGATATGGACAAGTGGAGGAAAAGAAGAAGAGTAAGTTTGGTGGGATGGGGACAGGATTGGCTGTGGGTGCAGTTGCTGGGGTTCTAGGTGGAGTTGCGCTTGTGGAAGGTGCTGAGTATCTTGAGGATAAGATTGCTGATGATGCTGCGGAGAAAGTTGAGGATGATCTTGGTTATGGTGATGATGATGGTGGTTATGATGGGGATGATTTCTAGAGAATCAAAACTTCCGAGAACAGAGTTTTGATAAGCCAATAAAGAAAAAGAAATGAAAAAGGAGAAAAATAATTGAAGACGCATTAAATTAAATTGCGTGTGAAATTTGCATGTGTTTGTTTGAATCTTAATTTTGTTGGATTTTCTGTCATTTTTGCAATTTCTGTTTTGAGAAGATGCTAAACTGTATGCGAAAAATTAATAATAAGCAGATAAAAAAAGTACACGTTGTTTTTCAATGAATTTTATTCATACTTTTCTATGTTTAATTTTCGATAACTTGGTTATTTGATGAAATAGCATTGGGATTACTTAAGTACTAAGAAAGGTGATTAGTTAATTTAGTGATTAACATTCATATTCTTTTGTCCTTCTTTTGAATTGATTTAGATTCGAAGCTAGAAAGTTCAATTTCACGCCAATGAACAAAAACAAGTTGTTTTTATTGAAATGAAAATAATTAAAGCTGAAAAGGACAAGAATTTATACGCGTATTTCTGGAATATGCTTTTACAGTTGAAGTTTCTTTGGTCCTTCTAGAGCATCTCGTTAGAAGTTTTATTTATTTGTATATTAAGAATAGAAAATAAAACATTTTTGCTAAATTTTGCCTCTTAAAAATAAATAACTGAAATGTTTTTTCACAACTATCAAGTTGCCAATTATGGATGACTAATGGTTAGAATTGCACATTTTAAAAGTGAATAAGTCAAATGATTTTGCATTACTATCAAATTAGCTTAATAGTACTATATAACATTTTTATTAGAGATGAAAGTTATATGAATGACTACTAAATAAAAGTTTATCTCTTAAAGATGAATAGGTATTTTTTCAATTATCAAGCAGACTTAACAAAATTATTATGTTTTTATTGAAGATGAAAAATTATGAAGATCTAGTGTTAGATATTACACTTACGTGATCTACAAGTTTTTTATTTTTTCTACTTTTGAATAGTTTGTTAGGAAGTTGCATTGGTTACTTTGTTAGTAAACTAACTCTTTTGATCTTTATAAGATTATTATAGTTATGTGTGCAAGATGATCATTCATTCATCAATAATATATATTTTTTTTTTGCAAGTTGTTTTATTAACAGTATGACAAGTATATTCTATATTTTTTCTTCATTTTCGGTCTCTTCTTCTTTCTCCTCTTGCTTATGTCTCTAATGACACTTGTCAAATATAGATATTTTCAATCAATTTCTCTAACTCTTATTATTTTCACCTAACGAAATTTCAACTCTCATTCTTGTTTCACCATCATTGGATACTATAAATTCTTGAATATTGTATCGGAATTTGTTATATTTTATTCTTGTAATGATGTACACATATATATATAAGAGTACAAGGATCTGTATACTAATTGCCTATAATAGAAATCCTATTTTAAATACAATTATGATACTATTTCCTGATATACTTTGACAGCTATATGGATATGCATTGCCATCATGTTTACACGCCTATAGTAGTTATATTGCCAGCACATGTTTGCTTGGGTTTGACCTTCTTGAATGTCTTGATATTTGCTTTGACCTTCTTTAATGTGAATAATATGTGCTTATCCTTAACACCCCCCCCCCCCCCCCCCCCTCAAGTTGGAGGTGGGATTGAAATCTCAAGAACACCCAACTTGCCGAGTAGTCGTTTATAAGTATCGCCTCCAAGAGGTTTAGTAAATATGTCAGCTAGTTGGTCAAAAGATCGGAGATAAGAAGGGCTGATAAGAACTGATTTAATTTTCTCACGAACAAAATGACAATCAATTTTAATGTATTTTGTGCGTTCATGAAAAACTGGGTTTTCGTCGATGTGAATAGCAGCTTGACTATCACAATGAACGGTGATCGGTTGAGGATGATCAATGCCGAGATCCGAGAGAAGATATTTTAACCATTGTAACTCGGAAGATAAAGTTGCAAGGGAACGATATTCTGCTTCAGTAGAGGAACGAGAAATTGTTGGTTGCTTCTTGGTTTTCCATGATATAGGATTAGAGCCCAACATGGTAAAATAGCCGATAGTGGAGCGACGAGTAGTAGGACAACCAGCCCAATCAGAGTCGGCATATCCAACTAAATTGAGGGAGCTAGAAGCCGAAAGAAATAAGCCTTTGCCGACACTCCCTTTAAGATATCGGAGAACTCGTGTGGCCGCATCGAGATGAGTTGTACACGGAGATTGTATGAATTGACTGAGAGTGTTAACAGTGTATTGGATGTCGGGCTGTGTCACTGTTAAATATAATAGACGACCAATGAGACGACGATAGATTGTCGGATCAGGAAGAGGGCTTCCTTCATTGGGCCGTAGACGGAGGTGTTGCTCCATAGGAAAATCTGATGGTCGGCAACCAGTCATACCAAAGTCGGATAAAATGTCAAGTGTATATTTCCTTTGGCATAAGAATATTCCCTTTTTAGAATGGGATACTTCGATACCTAAGAAGTATGAAAGATTTCCAAGATCTTTGATGGAAAAGGCCTGGGCGAGAATTTTTTGATGTCGAAGATAGCGTCTTCGTTATTTCCAGTGATGATGATGTCATCTACATAAACGAGTACAAATATAGTCGTGTGATTACTTTTGAAAGTGAATAGACTATAATCAGAGATGGATTGATGAAAACCCTTTTGAATGAGGGTGGTGGAGAATTTTGAGAACCATTGACGAGATGCCTGTTTGAGACCATATATGGATTTGTTTAATTTGCAAACACATGGTTTCCCTTCATGAGAGAAGCCGGGTGGTAATTGTTGGCTCCTAAATTCGACACCCTTGTTTTATTAATGTCAGCCATTAAAGCTGAAGGATGTTTTCGACTGGCTATGTCTATCGAAATGCCCGTCGAAAGATGGCAAAGTACTTAGAAGATTTCTTCCAAGGGAGAAGTTGGTTGCCTTTGACGTCGAAGGAGTTTCTCGTCGAAGATGTCTCTCGACGAAGGTGTTCGATGGTTCAGAGTGGAGCAGTTTGAAATTCAAGCGTTTGGAGGGAAAACGGTTTCCAGCAGTTACCAAGTGCAACGTGCAAAGATCTGGAGCGTCGAACGTTGAGAACGTGCCAAGTGGATTGATCTCGAAGCAGTGTAACTGCCCGACGGTTACTTGGGATGTTTTAGTATAAATAATAGTAGTCATGTAGTTTCTCGCGTGTGTTCACAATTCTATACAAAGTCACTCATATAGATTCGAGTACCCAGCGTGTGAGAAAGAATTGTTGAGAAATGTATGTGTGAAACACCAACTTTATTAATCAAAGTCATTTACTTTTCCAGAAATTTACTTGCTTTCCTCTTTACATTCCTGTCGAAGCCTTTTACTTTAAGCCTTGTTTATTTTACCAAGTCCTTTCTTCATGCAATTTCATTTAAAGCCTCTTTATGTTATTTAAAGCCTCTTTATTTAAAGCCTTATCCAATTTAATCAAAACTTCAAAGTCAACCTATGTCCTAGGATCAATCTGATCGATCCTGCGAGTAACCAAATAAGTAACCATTTGGAGGATCAGCGGTTGTTTACCAAAAACCAAGGTAAACAAATTGGCACACCTGGTGGGACTGTGTGTTGATTGTTGAAAATAATCTCATCTTTTCGAGGAGTGTTGTATGTTATTGAGGAGTGGTAGGATATACACTAACGATAAAAATACTGCCAGAAGAAGGGAAGAGATGGCGAATCCGCCAAACAATAACGAAATCCCACAAACGAATGTGGGAGCAACGGTTAATACGACCGTAAGTGAAGCGACAACTGTTGGTTCGACACCAGCAGTAACGGTCACAGCAACGGGGCCGTTACTTTCGTTCACAGGCCCCAGAGCGCCTGTGGGAACTCCCCCACCAAGGGGAAATTTAGGCACAAGGCCTTTTGTTCCCCCAGGATTCATGCCACTCTATGGCATGCCAACTTCTGACTTGGCTAGCCTGACGAATGCTGCGTCCACTTTTTCAGACCCTTTAGTGAGTGCCTCTTCGCCACTCCAAGGTTCTGGAGTAGGCATGGCAAATAGAAATAGGACCCAACTCTTAGGAGGAACGTCCCAAGTAGCCCATGGCCTTACAAATGCCTCGACAGCAGTCTTGAGGCAACAAATGGACGAAAGCAACCATGATATGGTGCAAATGTTGGCGCAAACTTTGAGTACAGTGCTAAACCCTCTAATACAAAACACTACTCAATTGAATCAGCAAGTGACAGCGCAAATGGCGCGTTTGGCTGATTTCTTTGGAGTACCCCAACCTATTCGACAGCCCCAAAGGGCGCAAATAAGGGGAAACCAGGGGATATTTTTAGAGGAAGAAACCACCATCAACCAGGCTCAACAGCCTGTCGAAGAAAACCTTAGGGCACGATTGGAGCAACCTGTCGAGGAACCTAGGGTAATAACCCCAGAGGTAAGGTTAGTCAACAGAAATCAAAATGCTGACGAAGTAGTCCAGCATATCCAATACCAAAATACGGGTTTGGAAATAATCTGGCAACCATGATCGAAAGGATCATGACTCAAAATGGGATGAACATGGACTTTCGAAGGCCTAACTTTACATCTCCATTGTCAGAGTACGTGTTACAGACAGACTTACCTCCTAGATGCAAAGTCCCCAAATTTACTAAGTTCTCTGGGGACACGACAGAATCTACTGTCGAGCATGTGGCGAGATACTTGATCGAAGCAGGTGACATTTCGAATAACGAGAACCTAAGGATCAAGTACTTCCCAAGTTCTTTAACAAAGAACGCTTTTACTTGGTTTACAACTCTCCCCCCCAATTCGATCCATCATTGGACCCAGTTGGAAAGATTGTTCCATGAACAATTCTACATGGGGCAAACCAAGATAAGCCTGAAAGAATTGGCCAGTGTGAAGAGACGTTTCACTGAACCTATAGACGAATATCTAAATAGGTTTAGGCTGCTCAAGGCGAGATGTTTTACACAAGTGCCAGAACATGAGTTGGTCGAAATGGCCGCAGGCGGTTTAGATTATT